GCTAGAAGAAGTCTTCATAGGTCTTGTTGTTTGCCATTGCTTTGTTACTTGCATTGCTAGATAAACATGGGAATGGCAATGAGAGAGCAGGTCGTTATCATCGTAGGGGCCGGGCCTTCGGGTCTGGCGACTTCTGCATGTTTGAAAAACCTCTGCATCCCAAATGTAGTCATCGAGAGGGATGACTGCTCTGCTTCTCTATGGAAGAAACGTTGCTATGATCGCCTTAATCTCCACCTCGGCAAAGAATTTTGCGAGCTTCCTCATTTTCCTTTCCCGCCCGACGCACCCACTTTCATATCAAAAATAGATTTTATTAAATATATAGATGATTATTCTACCCGTTTCGGGGTAGAACCTCTGTTTTCGAGGGAGGTGATTGAAGCAACCTATGATAGGGAGGTACAGAGGTGGATCTTGCATGTGACTAACACATGCACAAAAAATGTTGAGTGTTACAGTGGGAGATTCTTGGTAGTTGCTACCGGGGAGAATAGTGAGGGCATAATACCTGAAATTCCTGGACTTCCTGACTTTGAGGGGGAGGTATTGCACTCTTCCCAATTCAAGTCAGGAAGGACTCACAGTGGCCAAAATGTGCTTGTGGTTGGCTGCGGGAACTCGGGCATGGAGATTGCTTTGGATCTCTCAATTCACGGTGCCGATGCTTCGATTGTCGTGAGAAACCCGGTATGTTGTACCATTGATTTCAATCTACTTACCAATCGTGCATTGTGCATCAACATGTCCCTAGATGCAGGGTCCTAGTTTTAACTTTGATGAGAAACCCGTTTTTGTTTTGATGAGAAACCCCGTCTTGCATGCATGTTGTAGACTTCGTAGCATTTTCCTTTGTTTTCATCTATAGATTTCTAATGTGGCCATGCATATCATAAGAAGAGATGACCATGCAAAATGCAATTGCATGTTCATGTTATGTATGTTACGATTCACGTGGAATGCATGGTGCGCATACCATACATAGTACAGATCACGTTATCCAGGGTTGTCGAGAGTTGTTGGCCAGTTTGACATCTCTTGACACAGGGGTTTATTTTGCCATATGTATTATGTAATAGCATATGTGTTGCTCACCCACGGGCCTACATAAGTGCTCCATCTAAAAAATGAAGGGTAGTGGTGATCTACACGTATGTAGCAGGGTATACAAATGATATAACAAAAACTTAATTTTCTTTTTTTGAATGGCATAGCATAAATTAAAAGAGAATTTATAGAATTACCCATGAGAAATTTAATATCTTACTCATATGTTTTGATTTAATTTTAAAATATCCATAAAAAAAACTCATGATCTTGAGTTGGAATAGTTACAAATGGGTAGAATCTTAAATATTTCATCTCTTAGGGGTATTTTGACGGATTTCCCTAAATAGAATTTTCGAATGACATGCTTCGTACACAACATGGTAGGCGTACCAAGAAATCATTTATATTATATTCTCTAAATTGGTCTAAATTTTGCTCCTTTAGATTTCCTCAATGAAAAGGCCTAAAAAAGCTGAAAATGATTTTTAGGGATTTATCTTTGTTTTTGAGTCAATGCATCGATGAATTAGACATATATTTGACAACTGCTAAATATAGAACACAACCATATCTCAAGGAAGTATTATTTGGAAAGAAATAAAACAAAGACACAAAGCTCAGAAAATATTAAGTAGAGATGCAGAAAAAGTATTCGTATGCAGCTGCATTTTAGCCCTCATAGCATCCTTAAGCTTAAATTAGGAATAGTTGTGATGCTTGATATATATTGAACATGCAGCAAAGTACAAAGGATATTTGTTTCTGCTTGCATGTAAAGTAGTTTCCTATCTTTTATTGATATATATTTGTATTATATAAGATATATTATATAGTGAATTTTTTGATTAATCTTTATTTTTATTATATAATGTACATAAAATAATATATATATATATATATATATATATATATGTATATATATATATATTTACATTGTATACATTTTTATTATATAATATTATAAATATGTGTTATATAAATAAAATATAATATGCAATAAATTATATTGTATATTATACAATAAAATATATACATTTTATATATGGCGGTGATTCATAAAAAAAAAAGTACCAAGTTTAAGTTCCAACCCTTGGGTTGGAACGTTTTTTTTTAAAGCAAAATTGGTACTTGAACAGTTCCTTTAAGTTTTGTTTGAAGTTCAATTTTTTTTTATCAAGCATGAAACTTGAACGATATTAAGAAGTTCTAAACTTCCAAGAAGACACTTCTTGCTATCAAACCCGTCTGTAAAGTAGTTTCCCATCTTTTATTGACATGAGTGGAGCATCACCCCCTCTTAATGTTTTTATTTCAAGGAAGAATATTTGGCGTTCTTTCAGTACCAAATCATTTGGTCTTTGGCCCCAACACCATGTAAGGGGGATCTCTTTGACAGCGAAACTCTCTAATTACATTTGCCTTACTCAAATAATCAATTAGAGACAAAAACCTCGAAACAAATTGGAGATAGATAAATGACTCAAATCAAAACCTTTTATAGATTGCGATCTAGTGGTATAGATTGAGATCTAGTGGATCCAGTTTGAGAGAAGCCTGGCAAAGGAAATTTAGAGATCTTTTTTTTTTTCCCAGAATGATCACATTTATTTCAAATACGAAATTCAAAATTTTGAGGTAAATTGGCACTATTAGGTGCTTGCGTAGGAGGACTAGATGCACAATTTAGTACGACAGGACCACCTATAATTCGCCCTTTCCAAATGTCATAGAAATTTTGAAGTATTTTAGACATTTACCAAATGCAAGGTCAGTTCCGAACAATGAGACAAGAATGTTCTCTTGGAAAGTTTTGAAAAGATGGGGAAATCATGTGTAATTTTGAAAATGTTTTTGGTCTCATGTCTTGGGGTTTAGCCTTTTGGGGCCCTATTAGCCCGCTGACTCACCATCAATAGACGTTGTAAAAAACAAATAAAGCTTATACTGTGTAGAGTTTTTTTTTTTTCAAAATAGTCATATTTAAAATATAAAGAATTTTGTTTTATTTTTCATGTTCATGATCATCTTAACATAGATCATGAATCCCTTAAAGTTTAGATAAAAAATACATTTTTAAGATGGTAAAAAACTCCACAGGGAAAAAGATATGAATTCTTGATCAAAGACTCCATTAATAAAAGTTATGCAAATAGCCAATCTCAAATAGAATGTGCATGGCCTTAAATCTGTTATCATGCCTTTTTCATATGTTTTATTTGCATAAAATTATGCCCCATGAGCACATTTCGTGGTATTTAGATCAATGTGGATACTTATTTGATAAATGTTCCATGTATGTTATGGTGGTGCAGATCCATGTGATGAACAAAGAATTGATTCACATGGGAATGCGTCTGTTAAGGTACTTTCCACTGGGGTTAGTGGATAGGCTCATGGTTGCTTGTAGCCAGTGGTTGTATGGAAATACAAGTCAGTTTGGCATTCGAAGACCAGAGGAGGGCCCATTTCTACTAAAGAGGAAGACTGGCAGGAGCCCCATCCTTGATCAAGGAACATTTAACAAAATAAAATCTGGGGACATAAAGGTTTCTCTCTCTCTCTCTCTCATGTAGCTTAAAGTTAGCATAGGAATTGGTGAGAATAGTCTAGGGCCTTGGTGGTAGTATTGGTGAGAATAGTCTAGGGTCTTGGTGGTAGTACTGCTGAACTTCGTGATGAAGTCTTATACTTAATTCTTATTAAAGGGTAGGGGCTCAAATCTCCGACTTTTTCTAACTTATTAGATATGTGCAGTCTCTCCCTCTATTAAACTTAACATGAATTGGTGTCTTGTTTTCATCTTCCTCTCGAATTTGGCATATGGTATTAGTGTACACCTTTTAACTTCTCGCTCTCTCTCTCTCTCTGTAACGAACAGGTCCTTCCTGCCATTGCACACATAAGAGGTAAGGAAGTGGATTTTTCTAATGGTGAGAAGAAAGTCTTCGATGCTATAATATTGGCAACTGGCTACAAGAGTGCAATAAAGGCATGGCTCAAGGTTAATCTCATTCAACCCTACTCCAACAAATAGTTTCTGTGCTCATGTTTGTTCTAGATGAGCTCCTTTTGTTACAATGAAAAATTAGTGCATGAGTTTAGATCCTAATCAAGTTTCCAACAATTGATTAAAGATCAATGCATGACTTTATATCCTAATCAAGTTTTGGGAAAATCACTAGTTGTTTTGCAATATTATATTTCTAGAATACTTGCTTGGAATTGTATTTGAAGACTTAAAACTGAAAATTTGTTTATTTTGCAGACTTAAACTGAAAATTTGTTTATTTTGCAAGGATGAGGAGGAAATTTTTAATGAAGATGGAATGCCTAGAGCTAAATATCCCAACCACTGGAGAGGACCTAATGGTCTCTACTGTGCTGGACTCTCAAGAAGGGGGCTGTTTGGAGTATCTGAAGATGCTATGAACATAGCAAATGACATATACTCCCTCTTTAGAGATGGACTCAATAGTGAAAGAGGGCTTTGACATTGAGATTAAGCACAATGTTGGCTTGATTCTTTTTTGTATTATGGGTGTGGTTTTCTTTTCTGATTTTTTTTGTTTGTATTACATATGTATGATTAAATACTACAAGGAGTTCATCTCCAACTTCTCTCTCTCTCTCTCTCTATCCCAGACTTCTCGCACCCCCTCCCTCCTCCCTCCATGTTTTTACGTCCCTATGTTGGTGCCATTAATATGGAAAAAGGAAGCTCAATGAAGCCAAGCGCAATATATTAAACTAGCAAAATTTAAATATAAATCTCATTTTTTTTTTAATATTTAAAAATAGTTTTATATATTTCATATTTACTAATCAAATCCTTTTTTGAGAATGTAAAATATATTTTAATTCTATCTATTTTTCAATATATTGGATTAAGCTCAAATTTGATTTGTCCATAGTTCTCACTGTTATATACCTATAAAAAATATTTAAACAATAATTTAAAATAAATGACATTGCATATTAGACA